GATTAAAAAGCTTTCTTCTTTTAATTAAAAAAATTATAAATGTGAATCATAATTAATTCAAAAAGGAATTTTCGGTCCACAATTTCGACGCTGTAGCATTTCTCATTTGATTTTAATTGATGTTAAAATAAATCTTATATTATAAAAAATTATTATATAATAATATAATATTTATTACTAAAAGTTATTTTCTTTAAGTAATATATATTAGTATATCATTAAAAAATATAAATATAAGTTATAGTGACACACAAAATATATTATTAAATCTAATTTAAAATTAACATTAAAATGATGTATAATTATATGTCAATTAGATATATACATATATATCTATATATTATACTTATAATAAAACTTTTTATATATCACTATATGTAATATTTTTTGTAGTGTCATGATGTAATTTGACTAAAAAAAAATTGAAACTCCAACATTTATACTTTTACATGAAAGCAATACCAAATTATCAACTAAAATTGAAGAGTATGTTTGGATGAGAAATTTATATAGGATAATTCATTTATTTGAAAATTTTCAAATTCTTTGAGATAAATTGTTTTGTTTGGAGATGGAAAATTTAGAAAGAATTTAAAATTAATCTAAACATTTGTGAAATTTCTTAAAATAGTAAAATTTTAAATTCTTCCAAAAAATTAAGAATTTAAAATTCTTCATATTTATTTTTCTTGTTTGACTTATATATTTTATCTTATCTCTTATCTCTTCATTCTTTTAATTATTAAATATTTAAAAATATTTTTAAAATTATTAAATATTATCTAATATTAGTTTTTAAAATTATTAAATATTTTAAAATTGGTTAGTATTTATTTTTATAAAATTTAATTTAAAAGTTCCAACATATGAATATATTTTTAAAATCAGTTTTACCATGATGAAATCAAATTAATATATTTAAACTAAAAATTTAAAAATTTAAAAATTTAAAATTGACTTATCCAAATATTTTTTTTTAGAATGTTAGAAATTAAAATCAAAATAATTTAAATATCAAGAATTTTAAATTTCTTGAATTTATAAAATTAATTTATTATTGAATATGTGAATCAATTAACACATGATTATTTAATATGAATCGATTGATATGTGATTATTTTAAGTTAATCATGTTATTGGTATTGTATGGGAAATTTGAGTATATACAATTTCATTAAATACTTAAAAAAAAAAATTGTCTTTTGTCACCTAAAGTAATGCTATCCAACTCGAGTAGAGTTACCTCACGTGAAAGATAGTATCGACAGTTAAGGACCAGAGACGCAAGTTTTCGCCATTAAATCCATTAGTATACCGGCAATCAATAAAGAGTTCAATTGTATGCTTATTAGTCTCAACATTATTTATTATCAAATTCTTCTTGTATCCTTATTTAATTTATGACATATATTTCATGAAATATTAATGTTGTTAATTCTTTTGATTAATCAACTTTAGTCGCATTTTGGTTTTGTTAATATATATATATATATATATATATGTATATATATATATATATATATATTTTACTGTCAAACGTGTTGTGTGAAAGAAGTTTTTCAAAAGGCTAAAATCTATTTTGGTCTCTTATAATAATTGTTTGTTTCAATTTAGTCCCATTTTTATTTTTGGTCTCAATTTGGTCCCTAATAAATTAATTGGTTTCAATTAAGGACTTCCGTCCAAATTATTTAAACGGAGTTAACTGTTGGCCACGTGGATGCCACGTAAATGCATAAGTGGATGTCACGTGGATGCCAATTTTTTGAAAACACTGGAACCAGAACAACCCGTTCTGAAACTAGAACGGGTCGTTCTAGATGCACTCTTTGTGTGTTAATTTTGCATCCGGAACGGCCCGTTCCAGGTGCAAAATTAACACACTAAAAGTGCAACCAGAACGGGCCGTTCTGGTTTCAGAATGGGTCGTTCTATTTCCAGACTGCTAAACATAAACTATCAATAATTATAGTTCACAGTTGTGAATCGTGGAAGGAAAAAGATCCAAGGTACAAAGCATTTCAAATACTGAATTTGGTAATATTGTCCATGGAAATTAATAACTTCAATTGCTAAACAATTAGGCTATACAATGTATCATTAAGGACAATGCAGTGTATCACTAAAGACAATGGTAGCAGATTTTATTTCATTTCAAACTAGAGTAAACCACTTACTATCAAATTAACACTATACAGTAAAGGATGAAATGACATGGTATTTTTTCTTGAAATCATTAACGATGTACCCCAACAACAACAACAACAACCTGTTCTTGAAGAGGTAGAACCTGAAGTAAAGAAAGAGGATACATAAGACTAATATTTCACCACACAACCACATGCAGGGACAGATCTAAGTTAATCATAGTGGGGACACTTGCCCCCACTAAAAATTTTTTCATTCTTTTTTTTATATATAAAATATTAATAATTTTATAAAATATATATTATTATTTATATTTTAATTATGTTGTTATATCTAATATAATAAATACATTAATATTTTTTATATATTTTATTTTATTGTTTAATTGTTTTTTATATTGTGGTAAAATTATCTTCATTTTTAATGAAGAAAAAATTTACTTACTTCAAGAGTAAGTATTGATAGATTTATTTTATTTAATAATTAATGTTCTATATCAAATTTTTAAAAATTTAATTGTTAAATTAAAAAGCTTTTCATGTATAGATCAAATTTATAAAAAAATTTATAAAAATTAAAAATCATATGATACTTCGTTAAATTAATTCAAATTAACATATAAAATATTTTTGTTTTAAATGAGTGTACAAATTTAGAGGACACTAAAAGAAAATAAATTAATAATTTTATTATGTTTATCCTATTAATTTTTATTATTTTATTCTTCTAATTTTAAATAAGTTGTAAAAAATTATAAAGAGAAAAAGAAAAAGTTACTACTCTATTTATAAGACAATTGTATTTTATAAAAAGAAGTAATTTTAAAAATTTTACCATAAAAAAATATTTTTCAAAATTATTATATTTTTTAATAAAATTAATAAAGAGTATTTTATTGCCTTCACTGAGTTCCAGAACGGCCCGTTCTGATGTACTGGTGGTGTGTTAATTTTGCATCTGGAACAGCCGGTTTCAAATGCAAAATTAACATACCAAAAGTGCACCCAGAACGACCCGTTTTGGTTTCAGAACGGGTCGTTCTGGTTCCAAGTGTTTTCACGATATTTGGTATCCACGTGGCATTCACCTATTCATTTACATGACATCCATGTGACCAACAGTTAATTCCGTTTAAATAATTTGCACGGAAGTCCTTAATTAAAACTAATTAATTTATTAGGGACCAAATTGAGACAAAAAATAAAAATGGGACTAAATTGAAACAAACAATCATTACGAGGGACCAAAATAGGTTTTTACACTTTTCAAAACATAGAAAAGGTTAATTATTTGTAATCACTGTTTTAAATTTATGTTTCATAACTCTTTAATAACATGCACAGTAATAATAATACACGTAAATCAAAATAATTACTTCAAAATCTTAAAATTAATAACCGCTCTGGCCACCAATTAGTATTTATTTTCATATTTACTATATTTATTAAAATGCAATATGTACTTAACATTAATAATTTATTATTATTATTATAATAGATAGATAGATAAAACTTTAAATAATAATAAAAAAGGCAAGGCAGAGTCTAAAATCTAGTGATTATATGAATATAAACTTGACAGAGTGAAAAAGGAGATAAATTATATTTTTTTATTATTTATTTGGATGTGTTTGCAACAATGCATACTCCACTCCTCTACTCTGGCCTGAAACAAAATGGAGAGAAACTACTTTGCAAAATCCACACCCCTCTAAATAACATTCTAGTCCACAAATTGCTTAAGCCACTACTCTCTGCTTTTAAGGAAAGAGGCACTCTTGGTGATCTCACGCAGTGACTTGTCTGTGTATCTAATTGTGTTGTAGACCCATGCACCAGCCACAGCCCCCAAAGTTGGAGCCACTAAGTATATCCATATTGCATGGTATTCATTGTGTACAAACGCAGGCCCTATGCTTCTTGCTGGGTTCATTGATGCTCCTGACACTGGCCTGTCATACATAATATTAATCTTATAAATTTGTTCAACCATTATACGCAAATGAGATCATACTTTGACCTCTATTTTGCCTCCAAAATGTGTTCACATCTTTCACTGAATAAGATAATAATACCCTGCAAACATCACATTCAACAGCACAGTGGATCCAACAGCAATCCCGGCCAACTCACCGATCTGCAAGATTAAAAAATTAAATCGATAATTCAAAGCCAAGAAGTTTGGGTCCAAGAAAGACAAAAATATTCAAATATAGAACTTTGTTTCGTATAAGATAATGTGTCGTGTGATGTACACTTCTAGCATTCTTCCAATGATCCATAAAGCTGTAAACATATCTGGACAACAAGTCAATTTATGTAGTCCGTATTCCATTTTTTATGTCAACCCCAATTGGCTTAAACAAAATATTTTATAGAAATTAAAGGCTAATTAATTATTAAGTATAAGCAGAGAAGCAGGAAATTAAACAAAATTTAGGGATGGGATAAGAAATTTCACCGCTCTGTTATCGGTGGCAACTCCGGATACGACAAACATAAGGAAAAAAGTGATTATGAATTCAATGACAAAAGATTGGAGGTGAGACCCTGTTGGGAGTGTTCCTGAAAAATGGTCATGCTTGCCATTGAATATTAGTCTCAGACTCCCGCTTGCAAGTGTGGATCCAGCAACCTGAGCTATTACATAAACTGGCACCTGCAATGTTAAATGGAAGATCATTCATTCATTATACAACAATTTCTTTTCACTTTTAACTTTTAACTTTAATTACCATTTTCTTCACTTCTCTTCCTACCACTTTTTTATTTGATAAACTAATTAGACTTCTGATTTCCAACCTACTTTAACCAATAATCAATGTTGAAAGGAAAAATGTTGAGTTTGGTTGACCTGCTTCAATGGAAACCTTCCGATGGAGGTAAAAGCAATGGTGACAGCAGGATTGAAATGGGCACCAGAGATGTGACCAACAGAGTAAACGAGCACCATGACAACCAGTCCCCACGTAATTGCTATCCCAGGAAGAGTTACGATGTTGTCGTTGTTCTTGTTCACCACCACTGAACCACACCCCGCAAATATCAAGAAATATGTGCCCACTGTCTCCGCCACCAACTGCATCCATCAACAAACAAATCCATTTCTCATTTCCAATCTCAAAAATATTGTACAAATTATTATATGAAATGTTTTACATATATTATTATTATTCGATCTCAAAAGAGCTAAGGAGATTTCAGCCAAAAAAAAATAAAAATAGGACACACCTTCTGCAGGAAAGAAACATTAACACAAGAGCGCGAGTCTTGAGTTGTTCTAGAGACATCCTTGTTTACATCTAAAACCACGTCATGGTTACCATGTGTTGCTGAAGTATCCTCCATTACGAACAGAATAACAAAGAAAGAGCAGATAAATGAACTGAGAAAGCGTTACGAAGAAGTTGATAGAGCAAAGTCGAATGTGATCTACTTATATAATGACGCAGTTGTACCCATGAAGATTATACACGTGAGGGAAACAGAGTTAATCCAATAATAAAATACTCCTTTAAAAATTTATTAACTAAGATTTTTTTTTTACAAATTAAAAAAATAGTAAACACTTATTTAAAAAATCGATCTTCAAAATTTGACTCAGTCTTCTTATAAGAATTATTTTCACTCTCTTTCGACTTAAATCTTTAGAATGTGTTTCGCATGAGATTTGGGAAGTTTATAAATTTTTTTAAAAATTTATAATTTAATTTGATTAAAATAAATTTATTTGAAAAAATGAATTTATTTTAAGAGGATATAAATTATTCTTATAAATTAATTGAAGCAGATTATACAATCTCTATATAATCTTATACATAAAGATTTCTTTTAATCTTAATTATAAACAACAATCATTAATTTTAAAGTTATTCAAGGTTAAAGTTATTTTATACTTTTTATTTAATTCTTATACATTTATTTATAACTAATATTAAATATAACAACTGCTCAAAGAAAATGGTACATTTTAAAATTTGAATTTATGATAAAATTAATTAAAAGTAACTATATTAATTATTTTTCTTGTTCTTGATTATTTGTCTTATGTTACTTATAATTAGGACAAGAGGTAATAGCTTAAAAGAGCATCTCCGGGGGAATGTTTGTCAAGGTGCTTCAATGAAGTTCTAGTTGCTTGAAGCAACTCTCTTGTTGGAGCAATCTCACATGTAGGGATGATAAAATGGACTTGGATCTTATGGACACATGTAAAAATACCTGCATATGTGGCGGATAAATATTTGTTTATATGGGGATGGGTATAGACCCACAAAATTTAGTGAGTACGAGTGCGAGTATGGATATTATGATACCCGCCTCGCCCCATAATATTATATATATA